CTCATATGGAGATCATGATGCAGGAGGAGGAGGAAGGACAGAAGGGCTCCAAGAGGAGTCAGGATGGTCAGAGTGATGGTAGGAGACAGAAGGGTTTTAATCATTTGCATTTATATTGTTTTGTGTGGGAGGAGATAGGGGATGTACTCCATGGTTTAGGGGAAGATAGGGGATGGACCTCTAAACCGGATTTTGTTTGTGAGGAGATAGGGGATGGACTCCATTAGCATCACTTTTATGTGTGCTTATTTATATTGAAGTGTTTTGATTTGAGCTTGAGTCTCATTTGTTTGTTGATATTGGAAGGATGTGAATATGATATATGTAATTCACTGTTGTAAGTTTGGCCAGGTTCTGAGCCATGTTGATAAAGTTGGAAAGTAAAACGTGTCTTAGACAATAGTGTCATGAGACTATAAACTGAAGTAATTGTTTATCTTGGTTAACCATCTGTTGAATGCTATTGTTTTATTCATTGCTTATATGTGGTTTAGTATATTTCTACTGGGCTGTGGCTCACCCTTTATGGGAACATCATTTTCAGGTTCAGGTGATAAGCTACCTCCAAGGACTTAGCTTGGAAGGACTTGGACTTTGAAGACTATTTCTAGTTATTTGTTTTTTTTTTATTTTTTATTTTTTATTGTTAGTACATGTAAACACTCAAGCCTAGGGATTTATTTATATTTGAGTTAGAACTCATACTTTTGGTGTCCAAGTGTTGGCTTGGAAAGATGTAAGCCGTTCAGGCATTTAATTTGATGTTACATGTAATGTTTTTGTTTAGTAAGACTCTGATGAATATTATAATGAATTATTGAAGTGTTTTCTTTAAATAATGCATGTCATTGATATATATAATGGGTTAATTTTTGAGGGCACGACATAACTTATTCATCGACATGGTAATCATGGCATCATTTGTGGAGTAATTATCAACAGTCACAGTAGAGATTTTTCTATCAATATTCCAGTCCATCATACACTCAAGCAAAGTGTCACAAAGAACTTCTTTTGTGTGTGGACATGGAACATAAATAAACCTAAAATATGATATTCATAAACAAGTATTAATAACATGCAAATTGAACTGAATAAGATAGAATTTTTAAATGATTTGTAAATTTACGAAAATATACCTCAAAATCCGACTTTGCAATGTCCATGAATCATCAATAAAGTGTGCGGTGACAGCCATAAATCCTTTCTTTTGATTGCTAGCAGTCCACATATCAGTTGTGATTGCCACCCTACTTTTATTATGCTCCACCAAACTCAATGTCTTCACCCTCTCATAATCATAAATCTTTAAAATATCACTCTTTATCGTATTTCGAGAAGGCACTTTAAACAATGGTTGAAGTGCTGCTGAATATCGTTTAAAACCAACATGGTCTACGATAGAGAGTGGATATTCATGTAAGATTATGGCATGTGACAACTCTTTCCTAGCAAAATCTTGATCAAAAATATAAGAATTCATTTTTGGACTGTCTCTATTAAAATTGTTCGTTAACACTTTTTGCCTCATGTCCATCACTTTTTTCCTAGTACAACTCTTACGGTGATCATGCAAATGCCTAGTTCCATTTTTTGAATCACCTCCAAGATGCTTATTACAATAATTACATATTGCCTTCCATACCCCATTGACTTGTTGTTTTTTAAAATGTTCCCACACAACACTAGGTTTTCTTTTAGTTCCTCCACAAGTAGTATTAGACTCTTCTTCTAAATCAATAACATTTTGATTAGAGAGGGGAGACGGTGAGTTTGTAGCTGGCGATGAATGTTGTGACGCGTCACTCTCAAATGGTACTTGAGAGTTAATGGGAACTTGAGAATTAACGGGTACTTCAGAGTTAACTGGTGCTTGAGAGTTAACATCTGACATTTTTAACCTTTATAAAAATAATATGGATTGAATTAATGGAACTGAGAAACAAATTAACCAAACATCAATTTTTTTTATTAACTATACTGGAACTATGATTCTAACTCCTATATACCAATGTATTTGGCAATTGAGATTTGAGATACTTACTCTCCATTCATACTTCTTTTTAGAACTTGAAATACATAATGCATTTTATTCCCAAGTTTTTCTCACTACAAGTTACAAATTTTCCTAAATTGCGATGCCCTAGGCAGTATAGCATAACAGAGATAGCTATGCTATGTAATCTAGCCAAGGCAAAAAATGAAAGAGTTTCAAACTTCTAACAGTGAAATAACAAATTTAGAAAAGTAGAAATATCAAAGAAAACTCATACATAACAATATGAAAGAAAACTCATTACACCATCAGTCTAGTTTAAACTATTTTTCTAAAAATTGAATTTTTTATTTTATTTTAGTGAATTTTTTTTAAATATTCAAACTCTACTTTAGCATTCAACTCAAAGAAATAAAAAAAAAAATTGACCAAATACAAAAGGTGTAAAGTGTAATGGTTGTCTTGATGTAAAGTGTAATGGCTGTCTTGATTTACACCCAATATTGAACATATTAATGTTTGCTTCCATTTTCAATCATGGCTGTCTTGATGTAGTGCTTCACAAAAAATTATTAAATATTCTTAAAACAAATGTGATAATAATATGAAATCATAACATATTTGAGAGAGTCATTTTTTATTATTATTATCTTTAATTAGTTAATAAAAGTGAGTTAATATGAAACGAAGTATAATTATGAACCAAAGTCAACCAACTTGATTCATTGGCAAATTAATATCACTCAAATAATTTTAAAACTGGCCTTCCTTTCATCTTAAAAATTGGTAAGATTATGTTAACGACTGCAGTGTGTGCTAAGGACATTTAATTACAAACTTTGTAATTTGTTATAAGAATTTGTACTATAAAATTATAATTATGTTTAACTCAATTATCTAATGTCATTAAAATTCTCACTAACAAAATACAAATTTGTATTAACAAATCAATTGTTAACTAAACAAATTAACTAAACATCAATCATCTTCACATAATTAACAAATTAATTATGTTAACTTTGAACTTTCAACAAATTAACATCATCAACATCATCATCTTCAACAACATATAAATACAGCAAGAAGTAAACTGAAAATACATCATGTTAGTGTAAGACATAGGCACACAGATATATACTGCTTCAGATGGAATAATAGGAAGCATACATTTGAAACCATTAATAAATTGATTATTTTTAGATAATAGTAGCTTGTCCAAATTGTTGCTACAATCAAATTTATATTTAACCATAATTAAATTAAAAAGTAACAAAACAAAGAACCTAAACAAAAATTCAATAAAAATATTTATAAATCTCAAGTTATTTTTAGAGTTTGAATAAATCTGTGTGAATATTCATAATAGAACCTAAACAGAAATTCATAATAGAGTTTGAATAAATCTGTGTGAATATTTATTTTTATAAATCTACATAAATCTGCATAAAAAAAATATTGTATATAAACAGATATATATATATAATAAATAAATTTAGACAGAAACGAAACAGATCTGTATTGTATTTTTTACAGATCTATACACTCAGATCTAAATACTCAGATATATATATAATATATATACATATATGTAAACCCTAGATCAAAATCCCTAGAGAGAAAGAGAGAGATACCTAAATAGAGAGAGCACGACAAAGGAGCGGCGGTGATAGATAAAACAGAGAGGGAGAGACCAGTGGCGAGCGATAGGGAGAGACCAGTGGCGAGCGAGAGAGAGATGGGAGCACCGTGTGTGAGTGAGAGGCTCGGTGGTGACGGAGGATCGCCGGTGAGGAGGGAGGCGCGGCGGTGATAGA